CACACACATATATATATATATATATATATATATATATATATATATATATATATATACATATAAAGTATAGTATTTCAGTCTGGCGAGTAAACAAAAAAATGTACGAGCCAATGGCGATTCAATTGCCAAGGTGTCCGTAGAGGGTTGTGAATGTTTTTAATGAATGGATTTTATAATACAAATAGCAATGTGTAACATTTTACCATATTTAGTGCAACACTTTTATTTGTTCCCCACAAAATATTGTTTTTTCACTAAATGTTTGGATTTCTAAAATTATTGTGCACTGATTTTTCTAGAATACCTTTTGCTGCCGAATTATCCACTAACCTAGTTTATGATACATTTTTGTCATAGATTATAAATATACATAGGCCTATATTTTTTCATATTTATTGTTTATTTTATTTTTCTTTATAATGAAGTAGTCTGTATCTAGTAGATTGTGAAAGAATGATTATCAGTTCCACACACAGAAATATATAAATTCTACATTTATGTAAATGAGGGAAAAAAACTTCACTGGTATCGGATCGGTATCGGTCAATACCGAACCCTAGGTATCGGAATCGGAAAAAGGCGGATCGGAGCATCCCTAATTGCAACAAAGCTTAAGAACTTTCTTTAAGAAATGTACATAATTTAAGAAATTAACACATTTATTCAGCAAGGATGCATTAAATTAACTGTCACTTTTGATCAAAGACATTTATAATATTACTGGAGATTTCTATTTCAAATAAATGGTGCTCCATCTATTTAAAAAAAAAGAAAAAGAAAAAAGTATTAGTTTCTACAAATATTAATCAGCATAAATAAGCATAGTTGAATGATTTCTGAAGGATCATGTGACACTGAAGACTTAAGTATTTATAAATAATAATAATAATAATAAAAATCTTTTTATTAAAGCTGCAGTCTGTAACTTTTTTGTGTTCAAAATTAACAAAATTTATATAATAAGCGAGTACACCATTAATCCATTTTCCAAACTGTGTTTTTGGCTTATCCAGAATCCCTACGATACACCTATAATAAGTGTTTATATTCGGACTATTTAGACTGGTTCGGGTAGGTACCGTTGCGGAGTAGCCCAGTACCTGCGTGATTCGCCATAGACATAAACACAGAGAAGAAGTAGCTCCGGCTACAATGTTCTTCTGCAAGACGCACGCAGTTCTGTTTATTAACCGCTAGAGCGCCAAAAGTTACGGACTTTTAAATTAATTGTATCACACTTTGACAGTATTATTGTTTTTACTGTGTTTCGATCCAATAAATGCAGCTTTTAAACGCAAAAAAAATAAAATAATAATAATAATTAAATACCCCAAACTTTTCAGTGGTAATGCATGTATACTAATGTCATGTAGTTATAATGACATTGAGATAAAATTGTGTTTTAAACTGAGTTGAGGAAAACTCACTCGTATTTTCAAGCTTTTGACAGAGAATCTCTGAGGGAGACTGGAGGTGGGTGACAACAGCAGTGAATGTGTCTCCCACTCCCTGAGTCAATGGCTCTGGAGGCCTGGCGTCAGAGTTCTCATTCTTTCCTCCAGACAAGCGCTTGAAGTTCTCAAAGGATGCCGACATCAATGAATCTGAAGGAAGATGCGAATAGATGGAGGTGAAAAACAAAGAATGGAGTGAAACATTTCATGAAAGACAAGATAAAAAAGCAACTCACTGATGTCGTGTTCAGTCTGTGGTTTGACAGAAACGTCCTCCTTTACAGCATAGCCCTGCTCTATCAGGAAAGTGCTCATGTATTTACCTGTGAAACAAATTTAGATCTTCAATTTAAGTCTTGTGCGTTTCACACAAAGTTCTCCAAACAGCCACTGCAGTGAACCATGTATGCCCTACCAAGAGTGCTTAGAGGAACATCTACAGCAAGCAGAGCTCCATCAATCACGATATCCAACACTGTGAAAGTGAGAATCTTTCCAGCAATTAACTGCCTTATTGCAATAGTGCATTCGCCAGTCCAACTTCCTGTCAGAGGCTTTACCCCAGCAACACAACACTGCAAAGCCTGTCAGACACAAAAAAGCAGCTTTGCCAATAGCATGAAATAGTGGCATCATCAAAATATTAAAATATAATAATAATGTATAATGGAATGGATATACAACTCACAAATGGTGGTGCAGCATCGATGCTCTCAAAGAGAGGCCTTATGTTGTCAAACGTAACATTCTCCTCAGTTCCAAAGTCGATGTAAAACACACTGGCAACTCTGCGGGCCACATCGACTGACTGAACCTCAGCTCGATACCAGTTCTAAATCAGCATGAAAAAGACCAAACTGAGCACTAGAATATAGGGCTGTCAAAATGGCTGAAAAACTAAATTCGAATTTTGTACTTAAATATGATCAAAATTCGAATTATATTCGAATTTAAAATGCATAATTTCAGTTAGGGTGAAGAAAAGCTTTTGGCTTCTCTCCTGAGGCCACAAGAGGGCGCATCATTCAAAGCATAAGATAACATGACTATCTGCGAAAAAAAAGTGCATAATGTTTAAAATAATGTTTATAAACCAATTATAATCAAGTTGCTTAAACAACTATAAACAAAACAGCATCATGTATGTATGCATAATTTAATACAAAGGGCGGAAAGCCAATCACACAGAGTACATTTTTCATTTAAAAACATGAGATGCAGTGGGATGGGGAAAAACCCGCCATAAAGTCTCGATATGTTTTTTTCAAAGTTAAACTTGCATTAATTTTACATGGCTTTCTAAACATGCGGCTATTTTGTGCGAGACGCGAGTGCAACGGTGATAGATGTCCGTCTAGAAAATGCGTGAAATATGCGTTCTGTGTGAACGGCTTGGTTTCGGTTTTGATGTAAACAAGATCTTCTCCGCATTGATGTTCTCTTTTTCCACTATATTTTTAATGAACAACGCAGCAGCACCGCATCTAGTGACTTCAACTGGATAGACTAACAAAAGTATTATAATGCAACGACACTTACATCGTCATCGCATCTTGTGCGCCGCTGATAAGGCTGCCTCCTTAACGCACACTCGAATGTGGATTTTTATTTTAAATTAGACGAATATCCGAAATTCACATTTTTTTTTTGACAGCCCTACTAGAATATTCACTACAGTCTATGTTTTGAGACTGATAATTCCATTGTCCTGTTAAGCAGTGCACTGACACACAGGAACAATAATGCTTATTTCACAAAAATAGTAATCACTGGGGTTCTGACAAATGTAACGAATTTAAAAAATATATATAAAATTGCCTCACCCGATCAAGAGAAAATTTTACAGCACAGAGCTCCCCAATTTCAGGCTTGTACTCAGCAGCAAATGAAGTGCTATAGGCCTTCTGGAGCTCTTTGGTGATGTTTTTCAGGGACTCCATCATCTCCACTGACTGCAGCTGAATGGAAAATTTCCCAGGATTCCTCAGATCAATCACTGTACCCTGAAAAAAGATCCAATGTGAGCCACAATATCTGTTTATGGGGCACAAAGCAATATAGACCTAAACTGAAAAGTACCTGTATCTCAGATCCTTTAGAAACAACATTCTTGCGCAAATCACGTCGATACATTCTCTTTGACTGTACATCAACACAGATTTCCTTTATTTAAACAAATAAATAAAAGTTGTGAAGGAATTAGATGGAATAACTAACTATTGTAAATGTAAGTCACTATTAGCAACCAATGAAATACCTTAGCTTGAAGGCCACCAAGTCCATTTCCACTTGGCATTGGTGTGGATTCCTTAGTTTTCTCACTGATTGAAAAAAGGCATATTTTCACATTGTGCTGCCAACATGCAAATGACACTAATATCGAGAAAACATCCCTGCTAGTACCTGGCAACTTCTGAGATGCTAGCTTTGCAGATATGTCGATGAGCTTTCCAATCCTGAGACTGACAAGCTACAGAACAGTAGCATGTTTTTTTACAACGAGTGCACCTGAAGTTTCCTAAAGAGGATACAAGAAAATAATCCCAAATGAACTACTCATTCTGCTCATCAAGACCATCAAAGGCATAAGGCACCAGTATCACTGGGCAGGACTCTTTTACATGTGCACTGCAAAAACTTATTTGTTTTCTATTACAACTAATCTAAAAAATCCAAAAAATTACTAAGCCTTGTGTTCTAAAAAAAAAAATCAAAATCAAATTTAAAAAAAAGTCAAAATGTTATGATATCTAAGAGGTGTATTTGGACTTTTTTCTTTATTAAAATGAGATAGTGAAGAGGCTCTGGGATGTGTGATAGAATGGAGTATGTTTTAACTAGCATGAGGAACATATGATATAAACTGACTGTCATATGTATATATGCCATCATACATATTCATTTATTTTATTTACACTCTTTGCATCTTTAAACTTTCCTTTCAACACTGCCAGTGGTGTTTGTTGGAGAAATAATTCATTTTAAAATGCACATACAAGGTATAAATAATAAATAAAGATACAAAATAAAAAATTAGGGCTGCACGATAAATCGCATGCGATATTTAACGCGCATCTTATCAGTAAAGCATGCGATTTATCGTGCAGCCCTAAAAAAATCCAAATGTTATACTTAAAACAAGACAAATCTGTCAATGTGGTAAAAAAAACTAAAGGTTCTTTTTCTTACCACATTGGCAGATTTTTTGTTTAAGCATATACTAAATTTGATCACATTTTCTGAATATCTTAAGTAGTTCTCCTTCTCAAGTAAATGTATCCTGATTTAACAATACTGGAAAACAATACAAAATATTGTGCTAGAAAATAATTTTTGCAGTGTGACAAAGTGACAAAGAAATGATGAACACTGAAATCAAGCAAAGTAACCTACCCTGGTGACTGCAGTAATTGCACAGCTTTACCAGTGGGCCCACCATAGACCCTGCTGTCTGTGGGGGAGACAAAAAATCTCCACACTGCAGAAAAATTAAACACTTTAACTACTACAGAATGCTCTCTGATCTCTGCTTAAAGGGCTAGTTCACCCAAATATGACAATGCTGTTATTATTTACTCACCCTCAAGTTGTTCCAAACCTGTATGAATTTATTTCTTCTGCTGAACAACACTAAAGAAGATATTTTGAAGAATGTGGGAAACCAAACTGTTTCTGGTCCCCATTGAGACATCCATACATGTTTGGAACAACTTGATATCAGTGATGACAATTTTTAGTTTTGGGTGCACTATCCCTTTAAAGCCAATGTCAAAGTGTTGAGAAATATTAGGTATTTGAATAATAAAAAAAATAACTTAAAAAAATACATTTTAAAGGGGTGGTTCACTGTTTTTTTTCTAGGCTTGTTAATGCTTCGTTTTTTAAAAACCACATTATTTTTCACATAATTTACCTTTCCACACCGCTCTGACCCTTCTCTGAGAAACGCACTGATCATTTCCTTCTTATATGAAGCCCCTTTCTCAGAAATAGGCGATGGGCTCTGATTGGTTAGCTAGCCCAGTGTGTTGTGATTGGCTAAACTGCCTCTAATGCGCATCTAAACATCCCGCCCCTCACCTCGGCGGCATGTGCTCCGGTTGTATTGCAAACAACGGCGTCGTTAATATCGCTTATCAGTTTGAGCCCCGATTGAGAAGCAGAGGATATTATTGAAGAGGATCGTGCAGAACCTGTGCAAGCATGGCTTTTAATGGTAGGCCTATGTTGTTTGTTTGTTGTTGTCTCATACTTTTATATACACAGTTAGAAGACAGAATCGCGATTCATATATGAAAAGATTTTTACGCTCACCCCTAGTTTCAGGGATTAAAGTGTTCCGTCGCTACGACGGATTTCCGTCAGTTCATAAAGACAGTCACTTGCTTCATTCCTGAATGATTCAGCTGTTCGAACGAATCAATTGAATGAATAATTCAGTGATAAAATCAGTGACTTGCCGCCACCTGCTGGCGGATTTAGTTTCACTTTTAGCGTATAATTGTAGTCAGGGGCGCTTGTCCTCCTAATTTAAAAATTTAGGAGCACCTTCTGATCAATCAAAAATTCT